AACAGCCCCTGGAACAGCAAAGCTCCCTCCAGCCAGGAGAGCAAAAATGACAACCCCACCTCACAGTCATCACAGTAGAAGTATTAGGGGCTAGCGAAAGGCTCGAGAAGCCGCTCGAGGACACGACCCGGTCCTAGTCTTCTGCGTTGACGATTCCTCAATTGGTCACTCGTGAAATTGGCCCTCCTCATCCTCCGCCGCCATCAGACATGCCGTTTTGTTGGTTCTTTTTTTTCTTTGAGAGTCGTTTTCCAACACCATCCGTTTCTGTGTCTCGATCAGGCTTAGCGATCAGGCTGTGGGTTATTGTTCCAACCTCGGGTCTCTCTGTGCGTGCTGTGCTTTGACACGCATGGCCGTTTCTGTTGTGCTCACTTGACAGGAAAGGATTACTTTTTATCTAACCGTTTAGTGATATTACCATTGTGTGCACCTCAGATTCAAACCCAACACTCCATTTTTAAAAACTCAATTATTTGTTTTGTAGGACCTGGTTGGAACAAAAACCTGTACAGTTCCGGAGCTTGAGGACCGGAGTTGAGAACCACTACGTAAAGTCCTTAAAGTAAATCTAAATAAAGTGTAAAGCATCGAGGTTCTTGAGTTTGGTCAAACCCAAAATGGTCACTGAGAGCTTGCCTGACCGTTATGCCAGACTCAAAGAAGTGTTTGATTTTTTTTTTTTAATTGTTTGCATTCTGTTTGGTTTCTTGTTCTTTTTTGATTTTTTATAACGATTTCTAAAGAGAAAAAATAAGCAAGCAAACAAAAACTCTAAATATCCTTTGCACTCTTGTCACTGTATTTTGGATCTATTTTTCTTAATAAAACGATTGATGAATTTGTTCTTATTAAAACAAAAAAATTGATAATCTTTAACTGGAAAACGCTGTCAATCTCAAATGTAAAATAACAAATTTTGTATTGTTACTGTTATCAATATTATTGTAAGTAGATGCTACTTTGCTCTAAGCTTTACACCTATCTGTATTTCTGTTTCTTCTGTTTCAATCGTCATTGAAAATGAGATTACATGATCATAGCATGTACGTCTGGGAACTGCATGTGTCAGACAATAGCTATTGCAGCTGTAACAGTCTCATTGTTTGCAGGATCTAAATCCTACACGGTTAGTCCAACGGCTGGTGGCACATTTTGTCCTGAGGCCGTAGCTATGAACATTTTGTTTCTTGGAGATTTTTAGCCTATTGAAAAGAACAGACCAAGCTCAATGCCTTTGTGTAAACCCAGTCATTCACAGCAATTGCTAAAAACTTAATTTTAGTATACCAGCCATTGTTTATTTTTCTCTCCCTGATGCTACAGACCAAGAAGCAAAATCCTTTAATTTACACATTTATATTAAGATTTAGTTTTTTCATCATTTTGTCTGTGTATTTGTGATTTGTATATTTAAAATTGTAGCCAAGTTCTGTATAAGTGTGATTCTATTTACTCTTCTTTAGGACCCCTGTCTGTGCCCTTGACCCATTCATATGTCAAAAGTAAAGCTGAACCTCTCATTTCAAATCGTTTCAAGATGCATTAAAGGTACAACTACCTTTCACCTATAAAGGTAGATTATAGTTTTTAAGTCAATGTACAATGTATTTATTTTTTTAAAGTCTTTGCCATTGCATTATATATCGAGACGAAACATGTTGCTGTGTATGTGATGTTGCCTTTGTACATTATTTCACTTTTTATGTTATTTCATTAACCTAAGATGATATATAAGTTCTTGAATGAATCCATAAGAGTTCTTATTAAACCTTGGATAATTTAAAAAGAATCCAGACCATTAATTCCATGCAGCCCCTTTGAGGTTACAGTGTATTGTTTTTTTAAAACACCAGAGGGCACTCCATTGTAAGGCTTCCATTGACCTATAAAAATGCTCTGAGACTAAACTATAGCTACATGTAACCAATCTACGGCATACAGATCTTAAATTCATTTTTCACAATTTTGTCACTATAACCCAGTGTTTTGGTTCATTTCTGAAGTCGGCTATAACACATGTGTGCACTTTCCTGAGTTTTCAGAGACCATTTGTTTGTGGTTGTTTTACAAATATATTTTTGCCTAGTGTCTCCCATTGACAATTGATGTGTGGTACCAATAAAACACATTTTCACAGCTATCATGCCTGGTGTGTGGTTAACTTGCATCAACAGAACATTCAAAGGCTTCCTTATTACCAAATCTCTGATAAGAAACAAGTGAATAGTATAGTCAATAGACAATAAGCTTATAGTCAATAGTAGAGAGCTATTGACGCTTCACATTCTGAGGAAGATCCTCTGCAAACAGCTTCGGATATAAGTGTTTTTGTTGTAGCCTACTTTATGGCTGGAGCTGTTTTTACCAACCTGGTTGTTCATAGTAGTGATCAAAGGCCACCAAGAAATGTTCTACTTTTTACGGAAATCTATATACAGATGAAACTCGAAAGAATTAGAATATTTCGCTGAATTAGAATATTTTGCATGCCACACCGCATTGAGGCAGTAATTCATGCAAAAGTGGCCCAAACCAAGTACTGAGTACACATGCATGATTATACTTTTCAGAAGGCCGACATTTCTGTATTTAAAATCCTTTAAAAAAAAAAAATATTTGATTTCATGTAATATTCTAATTTTGAATATGGGGTTTTCATAAGCTGTAAGCCATAATCATCAAAATTATAACAAATAAAGGCTTGAAATATCTCACTTTGCATGTAATGAGTCTACTAATATATTAGTTTCACCTTTTAAGTTGAATTACGGAAATAAATTAACTTTAGCTTAATATTCAAAGAGTTTCACCACATTGTTAGTGCAACGGGAACAATAATAAAAAGGTGTATTCACACCAGGAAAGTCCGATAGTTCACTTGCTTTGGTCCGGACCAAATAAAGTGTTTTTTTTTTGGTGTTTTTTTGGTACGGTTCGCTTTCACACTGCTCTTTTTGCAAGTGAACCAAAATGTGTAAACAAAACCACACGTGTGCTAAGGTCGTCCATTCATTGGACAAGGATTCTCAAGTAGGGAAATCAGGAAGTGCAAAAAAGGCTAAGCATGGAGATATTTCGTACTGCAATATTTGTTATTTTACTAATTTTGTGTTATTCTGTAAACGCAACATGAAGAAACTGCGCAGAAGACGGATAAGGTAGAAAGTTTTCATTCATAGAGAGGGGCTATGTTCACACATTCAAATAATGAGATTATTATTGTATATACTGCTAACGAGTGACAATGTTAACGCTTGCGATTAAATTTGTCCAGTTTAACGCAGCGTCATCCTTGTATTGTAACTAACGTTACATTATATGAACTGCAAAAGCTTTTTTTTGCATCTATGCGCGATTAGACTAAAGAGAACGCTCTGTATGTGAATGTCCTGATGCACACACTCATTCATTCATTCCATTCCAATGATGCACACACGACGCGCAGAAAGACGCGCAACAGTAGCCTATCGTGTGGCCAGACAGCGCGCCGGAATGGAATTCTCTTTCGCACTTGAACAACAATAACACAAACCATTATGCCACAATCTCCGACTACGGAAGCCTTTTAACTCAAAAGCGCAGTGCTATCTTGCAATTGGGTCGGTTCATGTTCACACCGTAAACGAACCGTACCAGAGTTCGTTTGGAACCGTACCGAGACCACCTCTTCAGCTGGGTCTCGGTTCGGTTGTTTGGTCCGCACCCGAGTTCGATTGCTGTATTCACACCTGCCCAAAAGGTCCGCACCAAGGGGGGAAACGAACTAGAGTTCGATTCAAACGAACCAAACAAGGCAGGTGTGAATACACCCTTGTCTCTTCACACAAATGTGTTTGTCCATTGATGAATAATTCCAAACAGGAACATGGGAATTAAACATGTAAAATGCTTAAGGCCTGGTCTCACCGACAGGGCTTCGATTTATTCAGCATTACGCTTTAGTTTAATTAAGACATTTCAGTAGTTTTATAAATGTGCCTTTACTGATATGAAAAAAAACATTACTGATGTGCTCTGACATATTTTAAGAGATGTCAGTGACAGTGTAAATTGCTTTTCAGATCAAACATGCATTTTAGACTGGGACTATGCCTTGTTTGTGATACTGGGAATAAGAATATTATTAGTCTTATAATTTCTTGGAGTTTCATTAACTTGCATCTCGTTCCAAAACTATGTGGGGCATAAAAGAAGATATCTTGAGAAATGCCTTAGTGTTTTTTGTTTGTTTGTTTTTTTGGCCATACAATGGAAGTCAATGGTCACCAGAACTCTTTGGTTACCAACATTCTTCAAAATATATTGTGTGTTCCACAGAAGGAAGGAAGTAATAAGTGTTTGATACAACATGAGGGTGAATAAATGATGACAGAATTTAAATTTTTTGCCCTCATTTTTATTTTGATCACTTCCTTTCTGAAAACTGACCAGACTTTCAATACTCTCTCTCTCTCTCTCTCTCTCTCTCTCTCTCTCTCTCTCTCTCTCTCTCTCTCTCTCTCTCTCTCTCTCTCTCTCTCTCTCTCTCTCTCTCTCTCTCTCTCTCTCTCTCTCTCTCTCTCTCTCTCTCTCTCTCTCTCTCTCTCTCTCTCGGTCCCTCCCATTTCAGTCTTTCATTCATTTACTGCTTCACTCAATGCAGTTAAACTTCAGTGTTGACATCAGGTTTCTCTCAGAGGGATAAAGACATTGGATCTTAGACTACAGACACATTTAAACTGAACTAAGAGGAACACACTCAACAATAGACTTTAAAGGTAAAACAGGTTCTAATTCTAAAAGTTTTTGTGTGTTGCCTGAACAATATAAGTTCTCTCTATCTCTCTCTAGCTTCCTCTCTCTTTACTTAGTTCTCAGTTTACTGTTTTTAGGTAAACAGTTTAGTTTCAGTTCAGTTGCACTGATCCGTTTAACCTGTCTAAATTGGTGAGAGTGAAAGAGTGAGTTCTGCTTCTGTTTGTATTAATATGTAAGAAATTATACAACAAACAAGTTTGAGGGTGATTGTATTTATCTAAAAAAAATTCTGTGCTGCCTACAGAGCAATTCCATTCCTGACAATGTTTTTGTTTTTATACTTTTGCAAGGAGGATGTGTTGTAGGATGTAAGTACAGCTGGCAGACGCTGCCTTTCATCTTTCTCTAATTTTTACAATTATTGCTGTAATTATAAGACAATGGTCATGCTTATGATGACTGACTTGTTATGTTCTAAAGAAGCTTTTAATGAATAGACTAATTATTAATTGGCCTTTATCATCTCAAGGTGATGTCTGATGCCCATAAGAATTGATGACCTAAAAACTCACTGACTAGTGATTGAAAACATGAGGTCCAGAATGAAAGGAGGTTTTTGGAGTGGCGTTTTGCTGTTTCTCTGCACATTTGTAAGCGGACAACCATCCTGTCCTGTAGAGACGATAAGAACAGAGTTACAAAATCCAAATGAGAAACCTTCCAAGCTGACCTTCAACAGTGCCTTTATGTCTCCAATTGTAAATTCATTCCTGGGTTCTGTCCAGACCAAGTCATTCCCTAAAGGTAAGTTTTGATCTACGTGTTTGACAAAGGCGTATTCAGTACAAACAGCCAATGTTTTTTTTTTATGTTGAGTAATCTGTCATTAAAAGTTTGGTGATCTATACGCAAACAAGATGCTATGTGTGGCACAGATGAATCAGACTTGCTCTTCTGAGAGTGTAATGGCTGTATTAGACTCATTAGAGGAGGTTTATAGGCTGGCTTGATGCACATGGTTAGATGGTGTTCATTCAGGTGGGATAAATGTACTCAGTTAATTGTCAGAAACAAAAACCACAGTGCAAATAACCATGCAAATGTCCACGAGATTTGAATCAACACCCCTCCCCATTCCAAATGCTTTGTTTACCTCAAAAATACGTTATTGCTGTGTACCTTTCAAGTAGAATGTATAGTTACAGTCTGGATCACAACACTTTTAGGTTAATTATTACCTGCAAACTCATTTTATGCTGAAAGAAAATTACTTTTTATATTGCATGACCTCATAAAGTTCAAAAGTGTTCATAAAATGTTAACAATGTCGCTTTGATCTATAATCAAACACGCACTAATACATCCCTTCCTAACAATAGAATGAAGCATTACTTCATAGAATGCTGTTGAATGAAATTTTACTCCATAGAAACCTCATTGAAAGTTCATGTTACAATGACAAATGTCTATTCATCATCACTCGTCAATAGAGTTTTATTGTACCGAGTCTAGTTTTCTACTTTGACTCAAGTTAAGTATTTTATTATAATACCTACTGGGTGACATCAATAGCTATTTAGAAAAAAAAAATCGTGAAATTAGGTATGCACAATTGTGTTAATGTTATACAGTAGAGAGTTGCTAGACCTTTGACCGTGGCCACTTTATCACTGTTGGCCTCTGAGACTCTCAAAGCACAATCAAATTGCTGGAACACTGATTATGTGTTGTGTAAATGAATATTAAAAAGAAATGTACAATGTTTTGACTTTTTTTTCCTGTAGATCTGGTGGTTGGATTGGTAAAAGGCAGCGGAACCACACAAACGGATATGATTAAAGAGGTATGTAATAGAATTCACCTGCATGTAAAATAACACCTTAGTCAGATTTATGCAATAGAAATTTAAAATTTCTTATGTAGAAGAATAAGTACTTATGGGCTTTCTTTTTATTAAAGGTGATCAGACCACATAACTATAACTAATCCATATGAGAGAAGCCCTTAAGTAGCATTGTTTGGGATGTAATACCTACAAAATAATTTTTTATATCTTATATCATATATTCTGTTTGTTTAGGTGGAGATCAAAATGTGTAACTTGTTTGTCTTCTGCTTATTATAGTAAATTCTCAGTAAATCTGTATATGTGTGTACTGGGACAGGTTTCTTAGGAATTTTTTTTTTTACCATAAGTAAATGACGCCAACAACTTTATTTTGTTGTGTAAACACTCACTATTTGCCAGTTTCGATGGCTGATTTTGATCTCACCATCAGACATGTTTTGGGTACACACTTAAGCAGAGCACATGAGCACACATACGTACACCTATTCGATGTCAGCAAGGTTTTTTTTATTTTTTTTATCAATCTCATCTTTACTGCTTTACTGAGTCATAATACCCACACTAACCAACCTGTCTAACCTCTTTTACTTGTGGCAAGGTTTTGCAATATGAGGTAGGTTTCCTTGTCTGTGTAGCCATTGGGATCCTCTACATTGTCCTGATGCCTCTAATTGGCCTATTCTTCGCCTGCTGTCGTTGCTGTGGTAACTGCGGGGGCCGCATGTACCAGAAGCAGAAAACGAACATCCACTGCAAGCGAAGAAGCTTTTACTGCTCCACATTTATCATAACTGCACTAATTCTGTGAGCACCAGTTTGAGTTTAACATTTAGTGATCTTAAGACAAAAGCTTAATGTTGTTTTAATGTAACTGGTATATATTATCATGCATCTTATGTAATATACACTCACCGGCCACTTTATTATGGTACACCTGTTCGACTGCTTGTTTACGCAAATATTTAATCAGCCAATCACATGGCAGCAGTTAGGCATGTAGACATGGTCAAAACGATCTGCTGAAGTTCAAACTGAGCATCAGAATGAGGAAGAAAGGTGATTTAAGTGACTCTAAACGTGGCATGGTTGTTGGTGCTAGATAGGCTGGCCTGAGTATTTCAGAAACTGCTGATCTACTAGGACTTTCACGCACAATCATCTCTAGGGTTTACAGAGAATGGTCAGAAAGAGAAAACATCCAGTGAGCAGCAGTTCTTTGGGCTAAAATGCCTTGTTGATGCCAGAGGAGAATAGGCACACTGGTTTGAGCTGAGAGAAAGCCAACAGTAACTCAAATAACCACTCATAACCACTGAGGTCTGCAGAAGAGCATCTCTGAAGAGGTTCAGATGGGCTACAGCAGCAGAAGATACACTGGGTGCCACTACTGTCAGATAAGAACAGGAAACTGAGGCTACAATTCGCCGACCTCACCAACATTGGACAATGGAAGATTTGAAAACCGTTGCCTGGCCGGATGAGTCTCGATTTCTGCTGCGACATTCAGATGATATAGGGGCATAATTTGACGTAAACAACATGAAAGCATGATTCCCTCTTGCCTTGTATCAATGGTTCAGGCTGCAGGTGGTGGTGTAATAGTGTGGGGAATATTTTCTTGCCACACTTTGGGCCGTTTAGTACCAACTGAGCATCGTTTAAACGCAGTGGTGTAGCGAGAATTAACAGGTTAATTCTGTTAATTAACCTGTTAATTAACCCCCCACCAATGCTATTATGTCAATATGGACAAAAATCTCTGAGGAATGTTTCCAGTACCCTGTTGAATCTGACACGAAGAATTAAGGCAGTTCAGAAGGCAAAATGGGTTCCAACCCGGTACTAGCAAGGTGTACCTAATAAAGTGGCTGGTGAGTGTATATCAGTATGCTAAATTAATATGAATTGCTGTGCAGGGCAGGGAACGTTTGCATGTTCCTGAGCAGTACATACACTTCAGAGACTGTGATGGGCAGCTCCACAGAACTCAAAGACATCTTGGAGAATGTCAAAAGCTATATTACTACTGTTCCTGAGGTACATCATTCAGAAAGGAGAAGTGAAATGTTGCATGAAATACCATGTTATACAGTCGTGCTCAGAATGAATGGCTCCCCTGGTAAATATGATCAAAACTGGCTGTAAAAAAAATAAATCTGCATCGTTTATCCTTTTGATCTTTCATTCAAAAAAATTGCCCAAAATCGAACCTTGCATTTAAGTAAAAGAATTGAAAGTGGGGGAGGGGAGAGGGGAGGGGGGAGGGGGGGGGGGGGGGGGGGTCACATTATTAAATAAATGTTTTTCTCCAAAACACGTTGGCCACAATTATTGGTACCCCTGGAATTTTTTACGAGTAAAATATCTCTGAAGTATATTCCCGTTTATGTTTACCTTTTTAGCACCAGGGTGACTAGGAACATGAAATTGTCCAACCATGACTTCTTGTTTCACAGGAGTTTAAATATGAGGAAACACAACAAAGGCCAAATTCCCTTAATCATCCATCACAATGAGTAAACCCAAAGAATATAGTTCTGATGTGCATCAAAAGATTGTTGTTGAGCATCACAAAATAGAAAGTGGCTGTAAGAAAATAGCTAAAGAATTGAAAATCCCCATTTTGAACATCAGGGCAATAATTAGGAAAGTTCCAATCACCTAAAGATGTTACGAATCTGCCAGGAAGAGGACGTGTGTCTATATTGCCTTAATGGATGGTGAGGAAGAAAGGCTGAGTGACCAAAGACTCTTCAAGGATCACAGATGGAGAATTGCAGAGATTAGTTGAGTCTTGGGGTCAGAAAGCCTATTAAAAAAAATCAAACAACCCCTACATCACCACATGTTGTTTAGGGGGGTTTCAAGAAAAATGTTCCTCGCTCCTCCAAAAACAAACTCCAGCATATTCAGTTGTCAGACACGACTGGAACTTCAAACGGCACAGGGTTCTGTGGTCAGATGAAACTAAAAAAAGAGCTTTTAGGCAGCAAACACACTAAATGGGTTTGGTGCACACAAGGATAAAAAGTACACCATGTGTATAATTGAATATACCGCTGGATCTTTAATGTTGTGGGCATATTTTTCTGCTGGAGGTCCTGGACTTCTTGTTCAGATACATGGCATTGTGGATTCTATCAAATATCAACAGATAAAAAATCAAAACCTGACGCCTTCTGCTAGAAATCTTATAATGGGCCATATTTGGATCTTCCATCAGGACAGCGATCCAAAACAAACATCAAAATCAACACAAAAATTTGTTACGAAGCACGGAATGAAGCTTCTGCCATGACCGTCCCAGTTCCCTGACCTGATGAGTGGAGTGAACTGAAGAGAAGAAACACCAACATGGATCTGGCAATCTGAAGGATCTGGAGAGATTCTGTATGGAGGAATGGTCTCTGATCTCTTGTCAGGTGTTCTCCAAACTCATCAGGCATTACAGGAGAAAACTCAGAGCTGTTATCTTGTCAAAAGGAGATTGCAAAAAGTATTTAATAAAAGGGTGCCAATAATTGTGGCCAACGTGTTTTGGAGAAAAACATTTATTTCATAATGTGATTTCCCCCCCACTTTCAATTCTTGTACTTCAATGAAAGGTTCGATTTTTGGCAATTTTTTTAATGAAAGATCAAAAGGATAAACGATGCAGATTTATTTACAGCCAGTTTTGATCATATTTACCAGGGGTACCAATAATTCTGAGCACGACTGTATATTTTAAAATGTAATTTATTCCTGTGATGGCAAAGCTGAATTTTCAGCAGCCATCAATCCATTCTTCAGTGTCACATGATCATTCAGAAATTATGCTGATTTGGTGTAACATTTAACAAGTAACTTTTCTTATTATTATAAATGTTGAAAACAATCATGCTGCTTAATATTTTTATGGAAACAGTAATGCATTTTTTTAGGATTCTTTGGTTGATAGAAAGTTCAAAAGATCCTTGTTTATTTTAAATAGAAATCTTTTGTAATGTTTTAAATACCTTTACTTTAACTTTCGATCAATTTAATGTATCCTTGCTGAATAAAAAAAGCCTTATTTTTTTTCTATTTCTAGAATAGACACTGTTTAGGGTGATTTATCTTAACAATTTAAATTAAATTATTTCAATACTGAATTGAACTTAATGCAACTAATACATAATGGAAATTTTATACTTTTATATCCTCAACAGCAAATCCGACAAGTGACGAATGAGAGCTCTAAGACTGTGGATAAGGTTGAAAACAACTTAAATAGTACGTCCTGTATCTCTCAAGACCAGAGTCAGAAATGAATAGGAGCTTAGGGCAAAGTAAAAATTGTTGCCAATTATTAAAAAAGTTATGTCTCACACGGAATTCATACATTTTTTATTTCTATAGAAACAGGGCCTTTGCTTGGCAAAGCGATCCAGAATGGTCTTAAAGGTGCCCTCGACCCAGCATTCACATCAATTAGCGAAATAGCTAAAGGTATGTACAGTATGCATATAAAAATCAAATGATGCAGCAGTCCACCCACCACAGTCCCTTTCTTTGGGAAACTCCCTCCATGAACGAGGCTGTGCTTCTTGACTCAACTTTGCAGCATTAATGAATCCATTGATTTTGAAATATATATTGTACATGTATGTGTGTTACAGTGATAAATAGCACCAGCACTGGGCTGCTTCAGCTTAATAAAACTTTGGATCTGTTGAAACCGAAGGTGGATACACTGCAAGCTAATTTATCAGCAGTGAGGCAGCGGATTAACAACACTATGCATATGTCAGACTGTGTAAACTGCAGTTCCTTTCAGCCAGAACTGGACAAACTGTCATTGGATGGAAGTCTTGAAGTAAGCTAAACCAGAGGTGCCATGGGAACAAACCAGTAAAAAGTTCAATGGGAAATTCTGTTATGGCTGTTCAGTGAAGCATCCTGCTTATATCCTGATTCTACTTCAGGCTTCGTGGTAGTTTCAGGTTTAACATTAAGAGCAAATAAATGCTCAAACGTGGATGGATCATTACACAATAATTCTCACTTTCTTTGAAGCTCTAGACATTTAATGATTGTGGTCTCAGGTCAGTGATTGAAGCAGAGCGAGTTCTGCGTCAATCTTCTGGGGAAAACATAAGCACTACTAGAAAACCCACACAATATTTTGGCTTAGATTACTTGACTACTATATAGCATTTTTCTAGTACAGTACAGAGGACCAAATTGTATTACCAGTCATCTATGCACACAAAGGCACAAACACCCTCATTGAAGGAAAGCAGGGACAGGAACAAAGAAACAAACAATAAGGAGTAACTCAAGACGTCATTGTTAACACATCAATGTTTACAAGCTCTTTCTCTTGGAAACCTAACTCTTTCCTGGTCAAAAGACATTTCCATAAATACAGGCTTTCTGTTGTAGAGAAAAATAAGAATGTGTCACTGCCTTTACTGCCCTCTAGTGTTTAATGTTGTGCTATGCTTGATAATTATTTTTTTGCAATGCTTGACAGTGACAGTCTTTTTTGAGACAACATTGAAAATATAGGACTATATTATAAGTATAATTTATATTATTTTATATTATAAATCATGTACATTCAGAATACAGTCATATCAGTAGTTTAATAAAAGCTGATTTATTTTACATGGAGCAAGGTGATGTCATATTTCACAGCAGCACTCAAGCTAGCATGAACACACACTGAAGTCAATGAGATAGTAGTTCTCATAGTCATGTGATCATGTCTGAGATATGAGTAGTTTTCATGCAGTCATGTGATCATGTCTGAGATATGATTAGTTTTCATACAGTCATGTGATCATGTCGAGATCACATGACTGTTACAAAAAATCTACTCATATATCATTTTGTTCAGGGTGTGGAGTTCATGCTAGCTTGAGTGCTGCTGTAAAAGCAAAAGGGGACACCCTAACATGTATTTTTTTCTTCACTCCAGTTGTTATGCTGATAGTGCAATTTATAATGAGACAATCTAATGACTTTGAATGTGTTTTGTGTTGCATAGTTTTCTGGTCAAAATGATTTGAGGTCTGCTATAGACAAGGCCATAAATGCTAATGTCACTGGACAGGCAGAAAAGGTTAGTGCCTTTTTTTTCACAGGTATACATTTTCACTTGAGTGCATTTTTACACACACACACACACACACACACACACACACACACACACACACACACACACACACACACACACACACACACACACACACACACACACACACACACACACACACACACACACACACGCACACACACGCACACACACGCACACACACGCACACACACAGTTGCTCACCAAGGCTACTTTTATTTGTTTAAAAATAAAGTACAAACTTTTATATTGTACAATTTTGTTACAGTTTAAAATGAGGAAATTCATTCTATAAATCTAATATGCTGATTTGCTAGTCAAGAATAATCAGTTAAAAACAGTTGTGCTGCTTATTATTTTGTAGAAACTGATTTTTTTCAGGATGCTTTGATGAATATAAAAAGAACAGCATTAATTTAAAACCGGAATTTAAAACAGGAATCTTTTGTAATATTCTAGTAATAGTCTTTTGATCAGTGTAATGTGTTCTATATATGTTTTTTTCTTACTTAATTTCAAACTTCAAACTTAATTTTTTTTAATGTCCTTTATTTAACAGTTATGATGATTTTTTACTAACTATTGTTCAATGTCTACACATGTTTGTTTCTCAGGGGAGAGACTTTTTTGATAGTATTCCTCAAAAGGTGGAAACTCAGACGGCAACAACTGTGATATGTAAGTGTGTGTGTATTAAAGAGTTTTTTGCTTCTTTCTGGAAAATCATTTGATCTGACTATCTACTTCCACAAATGTTTGTTCACTGAAGGTTTTCAGTAGTGTAATGTACTTGAAGTTGCTGATCAGTCTAGTTGTTAAAGTGATATTTTGTCTTGTGTCCTTTAAAGTGGCTAAGTATGAGCTTGACAAGTTAAAAAAACAGATCTCAGGTGTGACTAAAGACCTTCCCCTTGATACATTGGAGAATATTTCAGGACCATTATCTAACGTGCAGGGTTTCATCTCAAAATATACTCCAGAGATAGAGAGATCAAGTCAAATCAGGTACTTTCACAAATCTTGTATTCCTATTTCCCATGATTCACTTTGTTTTCAAATACATTTTATTCAAATATATTTGAATTTTAACATTTACAATTATATCAAAGTGAAGAATAAACTGTGTGTGTGTGTGTGTATTTAGCCGGGCTATTGGATTGACCCTGAGCTGTCTGATTTTGCTGGTGGTGATCTGTAATATTCTGGGTCTGCTGCTGGGTACAGCTGGACTAAATGCTAAAGACAATCCCACTGAACGCTCCGGCACATCCAACTGTGGAGGAATTTTCTTCATGGCGTGAGTACAATGACTCCCGGATTTGTGTTTGCGAAACAGGAAACTGTTGCCAGGGTGTGCATTTGTTCTATTGTTATATATAGTACAATAAAATAACACGGTACACATACAAATATTTGCTCTTGTCTCATTTTAGAGGAGTAGGTTTTAGCTTCCTGTTCTCCTGGATCTTCATGTTAGTGGTGTTGATACTTTTCATAGTGGGAGGTAATACCTACACCATGGTCTGTAAACCGTGGCAGAACAAGGAACTCATCCAGGTATTTCCAGAAACATTAACTCATTGTGTTTAAACATATGACTTTGACTAGTTGCTAGGAACTAAAATAACTGCTAGTTTCCAGTAAATGTAAATTTTGCCGTAACGTATCCCAGCATATTTGGTAATCAATCATATTGTTTCATAGGTTTTTGACACTCCAGGGCTGATTCAAGGGTTCGATTTGTCCAAGATTCTGAATTTGAAAACAAACCTGAGCATTTTTAATGTGTACAGGTACATCTCACAAGGCAGTATGACTGATGGCTGACATATTTGCATAACTTGTCCAATATAAATAAATAAATCTTTTTTATTTTATTTCTAGTGATTGTCAAAATAACAAGCCCCTGTGGACCACATTACATCTGAATGAGGTCTTCGACCTAAATAATATGTTAAATGTTTCAAAGGTGAGAATTTATTACCTCTACTTGTCCCAGTGCATCACTTATTGGACACTAATAGTTCAGCCTTCTGATATTCTCAACAGTACGAAAGGCAGATTTATCAGACCTTTGAGGATGCAAACCTCAACATTGCAACCATCACTGTCCTCAGTCCGGAGGTAGAGTCCCAGCTACACAACTTCTCTAGCAGTGCCAGCACTATGAACTTCAGCAACATTATACAGCAGGTAAACTACAGTTTATTCTCAAATAGACTAGCGCATACTGTTTGTGTAATTAAATAAAGAATAATTTAATAAAGGGTAGGCTACATAAAGGATTTCATTTAAAAATTTAATCTTAAAATCTTTTTGGGGAAAGCAAAATAATATATATATATATATATATACAGTATATTTACATTGAAACTATATATAAAATGGTTAAAATATATGAGAAAATGTAAGATTTATCGAAAATAATGTATATTAGTGATATATTTTTGGCCATTTTATTGTGTATTTTGAAATCTATTTAAAATCTGAAAATATATACTTGTATAGTGTGAGGCTGGTAATTATTTTATTCTTTCATATTTCAGATTAATGATGTGTCAGGGACAAATCTGAGCTCAGCAGCACAAAGTCTGGATGAGTTGGCTGATAAACAGGTGAATTTTACTGTCTTGTTAACATCCTCCTGCTCTGGAGTAAGACTGATGTGAATCACATAGACTTATTTGTGTCTTTCAGACAAACAACAATATCAGTAAGCAACTGCGTGGGGAAGCTAAAGATCTGCGAGACATCCAGACTGACATCACGTCCAACATTATGCCTTTGCTGGTGTGCAAGCAAAATACCTTGTTCAAAATTTAAAATCCAACTAATTGTGACGTTATCATTAGGAAAAAGTGAATATTAATATCAAATCATTAATATCAATTGATATTTGCATCAGTTTGGTTTACTGTGACCTTCACCCTTTTCCTCTTTGCAGCTGGAGCTGAATGCTACCATTAAGAATCTCAGCGCAGTAGCATCGCAGATCAATGTAAGTCATCATATCTTTCTGACTCACTGCCTAGAATACTGTATATTAGTATTTATAACAATTTCATTAAAGACTCCATGAAATATGATGATTTGGTCATTTTATCACAGTTCACTAGCATATACAGTACAGTTTGAAAGTCAATTCTTTTTTTAAATTAAATTAATACTTTTATTCAGCAAGAATGCAAGAAATTGATCAAAAGTGACAGTTACTAAAATGACTATTTCAAATAAATGCTGTAATTTTCTATCTATCAAAGAATATTGAAAGAAACTGTATCACGCACGGTTTCCACAAAAAATAAAAAGCAGCACAACTTTTTTTCAACATTGATAATAATAAGAAATGTCATCACAGGTATAAATTAGAATTTAAAATACTGACATAGAAAACGATTACTTTAAATTGTTATAATATATTACAATTTTACAGTTTTACTAGATTTTTGTTCAAATAAATGTTGTATGTGTATAATGCTAAGTACTAAACAAAACTCTTTGATCTGACTTTAACCATGTAGATATATATATATATATTTGTTTTATCTTTATGGCCATAATTCAAAAAAGCACTTTCAGTATTTTCTAATTTCTTCTCTTCATTCATTTTGTAGGCAACTGTGGAGAATGTTCTTAAAAATGTTGGTTATGCTCAGGACGTCCTGAACTACAACATATCACAAATAGTGAAAAATGTGAGTGCAAAATCAATGCTATATTTAGCTACAGTATATCATCTGTCAGGATGTTTACTCTATGTAAAATGATGAAGCAATCTACTGGATGTCTTAAAATAACAATTGTCGCTTCTTTCCTGCAGGAGAGCATGTCATTCATAGACTGTCAGCTGAAAATCTTTCAGGCATATGTTAGTTGGGCGAATCAAACGGTATATATTTGTCTTTATTAATATTCAAATTGCCAACTATTTGAATGATTATTAATATTATTGTGTTGTATTCTGTGTCAGATCACAGAGAAGATGGGTCGTTGTGGGCCTGTAGCGGCAGCATTAGAAAGATCAGTGGATCTTCTTTGTAAACACCTGGTGGGATCTGTGGTAAGAATCCATCAGCAGCTGTAGCTGCCTCTTTTTCTTTTTTCTAGTGCTGATGAATTTGTAAGTGCCCATGCAGTTGCCATCTAAAAAAGCCTTAACAAACGATGTCCTGTCTGTTCCCAGAATGCCTTTTGGTTCAGTTTGGGCTGGTGTATGATATTCCTGATCCCCAGCATCATTTTCTCAGTTAAACTGGCCAAGTACTACCGCAGGATGAAGTATTCAGATGTTCATGAGTAAGATATCTTATTTGTTTCCTAAATGTAAGGCAGATAATGTTTTACGTATGGACTGATTCAAAGTGTCTCCCTATTTCTCTTTTTAAAGGAATTCCTATAATAACATCAGGATGCATTCTTTCCCAAAGGCTCACCTAAAACCTGAATTATTGGAAAATGAGAAACAACCACCTTTTACATACATACATAAATAAAAACGACAGTAAAAGTTTGATTTACACACGCCGACCCACATATCAATGAATTCACAATGGTGGACAAATTATGCAGCCCTTAAAGGGACATGGAGATGGAAGAAAAAAATTATGTCAATGCTGTTGCATTCCCTCGGAAATATTTTGCGTTCCCCTGAGAAATGTGCGTTACCTCACAAAACGTTTGCTTTCCTTGAGAAATGCATTCACTCGCAAAGAACGGAAAAGTTTTGAGTTTCTCGGGGGAACGCTAAAGCATTAAAAAAATAAAAAATTCCATCGCTACGTTCCTTTAGGCCGGGGCTCCGTAATAAAGAATGTAGAAAATGTAGTACTTTTAAGTGCTGTAGAGACTGTATCATAAATATAATTTCTTGTGTCAAATGATTTCAGCACTTAATATTTAAATGAAAAGAACAACTTTACTGTTACAACTGTAATGTTTTTTATTATAAGGGATTAATGGGAGGTCAAGTTTTAGAAAGCACTTTATGAGGTCCTGCAGGCATTGAGATTTATTTATGCCATTTTTTCAATAAGAAATAATCTGTTACACATATACTGCTGATATTGTACAGTACAGTTTATTTTAAAACAACAACATTTCTATCAGACTGTTCAAATGAGGAATTAGCAGACATTGACTGTTTTCGTTTTGAAGAGGTGGCCTGTTAAACATTTCTTTCATGTCATGTGTTAATCACAATAGTAATAAAAGATGCTCACACTACCATGCTGAACCTGTTTGTTTGGTGTAAACTTAAGCATCACTTGCCACTCTCTGTCTTGCCAACCCGTCTAGAAACCCTTCCTCCAGTCCACCCTACATCCTGTGACCGAGGCCTTACGGTACAGTGCAGCTGCCATTACAAAAGTGTGCCAATCAGAGTGAAGTACTAGAGTAGTGAAACATGCATTCCACACATATTTGTGCTGCTTAGGGGGCAATCATGGGATTAAATATTCAGTAAAGTGATAGTATACTACCTTTCAAAAACACCTATGTCATATAAAAGGGTATCATTTAAAAGCATACCATTGCTCGAGATTAAGGCTAGTAATTAGCATTTGGATTAGCAAGTGCCAGAGATACTTTATAGACATGCGTGAGGAGAGGCCATGAAACTGAAATATTTTAAATCTAATCCACATGCACTCTCATGCTATGTCTATTTAGGGCGTGAGAAAAATGATTACAAGCCCATTAAATGATTACAGTGATTCTTGAGACATGTTAAAGGTTACAGAACAGAAAAATAGTTTATGTACAGAGAAATCATTTTGAATTAATCTGCAGAATATGCCCAGATGTATCTATTTACATTCCACACAAAAAATAGACTACCGTTCAAAGTTTTGGGTCAGTTCTTATTGTTTTTGAAGAAGTCTCTTATGCTCACCAAGACAATTTATGTGATCAAAAATACAGTAAGAACTGTAATAGTGTGAAATATAATTACAATTTAGAATATCTGTTTTCTATTTTAATATATTTTAAAATGTAATTTATTCTTGTGATTGCAAAGTTGAGTGAGTTTTTAAGCAGTCATTAGTCCAGTCTTCAGTGTCACATGATCCTTCATAAATCCTTATAATATGCTAATTTGGTGAAAACAGTTATGCCGCTTGTTATTTGTGTGGAAACTATGCTGATTTTTTTTCAGGATACTTGCATGAATAGAAAGTTCAAAAGAACAACATGTATTTAAAACATATTTTTTTAATTTCAAATGTCTTTACTGTTACTGTTTCTTTTACTTTATTTGACTTTTGAACGATGGCTCAGAAAACTCAGTCAACCCAATATTTAGTAAACACTTGTGGATCACAAAGAGAAATAGAAGTGTTTCAGCTCTCCAAATACAGCTATGCCGCATCAATTCAGGGCAGCACAAGCCTGTCCAATGTGACCGAGTTTGAAGCTGGTCACTGTATAATACAATTTAGTTCAATTGAATTTAAAGCAGTGCTGTGAATGCTGCTGCTGAGCCCAGAAGGAATGCAGAGGGTGGGGCTGTACAGACATAGTAAGTATGTCTACATACATAAAGCTTTTCATTGGAATGGAAACACATCAGAATTCCCCTCTCCGACAACACAACCATAACTTACTAAGGGCAGCAGAAGTCTGTGACACTTTAGTTAAGAAAGAGACCTGAAAATGAGTGGCAGCAATACATGAGTCATATTTAATTGCTTCCTACAATGATAAAATCCCTGTGGTAGCAATAAATACAAGAGCAATCCTGAAAACACGCAAGGCATTTAACATGAGATTTCCAAATCTAAATAGTCAGATGCATCAGCATGCACATTACATTTTATATTACTGTACACTTTTATTAATAACAATTCTTAGCTTAGGTCTTCCACATGCGATTTTCATAAAATAATAATTACACTAGCATATGATGACAAACTGTAGTGTCAATAGAAAAAAAAAGATATTATTATGCTATAGGTTTATAAAATAAATTATCTGGAGCATGAAATGTGAATAATGCTTAGTCATCTCCAAAAGGATCAGGGTAACAGCATGCCTTCATGTGATGACTCATAAAAACGACACATCTGAAGGTTATGAAAAAGAAAAATACTGTTTAAAAAACACCAAAGACATGTAAGATGAAATGCAGCATACATAAAAACAACATATATTACATTCAATATCAGGAATAATTAAAGCAGTAGTTAAACATCTGTGAATTGCAGTAAATACTGTACAATTGTAATGATTAATGAAATATGATCTGATCTGGAGAAGCCCATAATTCTGTTTAGACCATGCAAGGTACATAATTCTTAAAGGTACAGTTCACCCAAATATGATCATTTTGTCATCATTTACTCACTCTCGTGTCTATCCAAACCTGTTGAACTTTATATCTTCTGTAAAATACAAAAGAAGATAATTTTTTTTTTTTTTTTTGTCAATACAGAGAAAGTGAATATGGTCCAAAGTTTGTTTTGGACCCCATTGACTTTCATTGTATGGACAAAAAGTTCTTCAAAATATCTTCTTTTGTTATCTACAGAAGAAAGAAAGTCATACATGTTTAGAAACAACATGAGGGCGAGTTCATTTTTGGGTGATATTTAATAACAGTCTATGGAAAGGTTTTAGACATGATTTGTCAGACCAGGCTTGCTCTAGACGTCACTTGAGATCAAGAGGAAGTCCTCTGCTTGGTTTCCTTGTGTTCAGCATCTCTGGAGAGTCCCTTTGGCTGGCGTGGAGGCGTGAGAGGAGGAACTGTAGGTGACTGAAGAATATCTGCATACCTGTGGCTAGGTTTGGTCTCCCTTTGGAGAACTTTTCTGAGAAGCGGTTTCAAAATCCCAATGGTGACCTGGCTGCCGTGAGCTTCGAACGGTCCTGAGTTCTGCGTCGAATCCGGCAGGTTTTTCAGTACAATATTAAGTATGCTCGTCACAGTCATGTCCTCTGGACAAAGAGTCCACAGCATGTCCAAATAAGGGTCCAGGTCTCTATGCTGCGACACTTCACACAGCAGAGCGCTGAAAATCTCTTTGTTCAGAAGCGGGCTCTTCTGGCAGAACCTCTCAGCTACTTGTGTCACCCGTTCCCACTGGCTTTGTTCGATGAGAATCCGCAATGCTTGCATTATCGCTTTAGGCCTCTCACTGCACAAAAGCAGCTCCACTTCCAGGTGTTGGTTGGACCCTTTGCAAGGGAGCACAGTCAGGGCCCGTTTATAGAGCGGCAAACTCTCAGAGCTCTCCTTCACACCATAACTCCACGAAGATGTGGAGGTTGTGCCCATCTGCTGTTGTGCCAATTCCAGAAACCTGGGGAGCCAGCTGGGCTGGAATTTGAAGATGGAGTGGCACAAGAGCTCAAAAACAGGCAAGTTCACTGTAGTGTGTTTCTGCTGACCGTTGCATTGAGCAAAGTTCGCTGTGGGTTGCACAGAGCTGAGGATGATTTTCCACAATTCAGCAGGAGCTTTAGAAGACAATGATCCCTCACCGTTGCACCTCAGATGCAGAACCGCTTGCACGGCGTGCCAGGAATAAGTGGGAAAGAGTTGGAAGATGCTGTTCAGGTATTGAAGATTCTCCCTCTCTAGCTCACTGCCAAGCAGCCGGCAGATCTCCTGCTGCACCAAGGTTTCACAATAGCTCGCTAGATCTTTCTCAGAAGCCTTCACCATTGACGTTTTGATGTCCTCTAGCAAAACGAGACTCCTAAGTTCTGATTCGAGCGAGCTCATGAGCCTTTCTTGACCCGAGGAATGTTTCTCACCAGTTTTGGTCTTCTGGTTGCTGAGGTAATCCCTGAGGATGGCAGCCAGCGATATGGGAGCTTGAAACATCCCACCTTTTTTGAGCTTCTCCACCGTGAGCTGTGTGCTACTTAGACTTCTTTGCTGATAGTATTTACACGCCTCCTCGAAAACAGCCTCAACCAAGAGTGCACTTGAGTCTTCTGAATGTATCGAAGAAGGCTTCTGTGTTTGCGTGACCACAAACAACCCGGTCTCTGACAGCATTTGCGGAGAGTGACTGTCCAAAGAGTTTACGAAGAGAAGACCTTCGGTTTTCAGACTTATTCTTTCTAATTCCAGGCCACATTTGGTGTCAATTAAGAAGAGGGTCCTGCCTATTGTTAGTGCCAGGACTTCACTATACATATTCAGGCTGTTTTGGGTCCCACTAGCACTTAGGCAATTATCAGGAAGTTTGTATATGTTGCGAAGACAGCCATCCCTCTTCATAATGCATACCCAACCAGTGCTGAGGAGGAGGAGGAGGTCTCCACATCCAGTGGGAGAGAATCCACAGATATCAGGAGGATTTAGTGTGGATAGAAGGCCAATGAAGTCTGTAACAAGCCTTTTGAAGTCTGATTCTTTGCTTGAGCTTTTCATAAGTGTGCAACTACAGGCACTATGCACTTTAAAGGTGTCATGTTCAGGTGACCATACAAGAAACACTTTTGAAACACCCACTGAAGAGTTTTCCCGCATGTCTGGGAGCAGATAGACCAAATCCCCAGAACTGATGGTCGTATATCGAGGATTATTATGCAATGCAATTTTCACATTTCCCAAACTGACACCTCCCTCATTAACTTCTACAGTCTTTTTGCAGATACAGAACCTGAAGTTGCTGCACACACTACTGGAGTTCTCAGATGGTGGTCGCTCCTCACACCATATGATGAAATTCTGACACATAGACACAGAAACTACTTTAGCACGAG